CTCCCCCCCAACGCCGCAACCGCATCCCCCCTGGACCTGCGCCACTCAAACATCTCCCTCTCCCTCTCCCTTTCCCTCTCCCTCTCTCCCCCCCCCGGGCCCCCCCCCCCCCCCCCCCCCCCCCCCCCCCCAAAACCCCCCCCCCCCCCCCCCCCCTTCAGAAAAGAAAGCAAGAAGCACTAACACAAACCCAGACCTTCACGATCGGCCGCGGCAACGACATCGTCTGCGCCGCAATATCCCACCTAGCCGAGCGCATCAAAAACCGCACCCTCTCGAGCCTAGTCTCCAACTGGGGCCAGACCTGGCGCCACCTAGTCAACGACTCGCAGCTCCGCTGGATCGGCCCCGAAAAAGGCGTCATCCACCTCGCCCTCGGCGCCGTCGTCAACGCCGTCTGGGACCTGTGGGCCAAAACCCTCGACAAGCCCGTCTGGCGCGTCGTCGCGGAAATGACCCCCGAAGAACTCGTCCGGTGCATCGACTTCCGGTACATCACGGACGCCATCACGCCCGACGAGGCGCTCGCGCTCCTGACCAAGGCGCAAGACGGCAAAGACGCGCGGTTTGCAGACGCCCTGGAGAGCCGCGCCGTCCCCGCGTACACCACCAGCGCGGGCTGGCTAGGCTACGGCGAAGACAAGATGCGCGCGCTGCTCCGCGAGACCCTCGCCAACGGGTACAGGCACTTCAAGCTCAAGGTCGGCGGGCCCGTCGACCAGGACAAGCGCCGGCTGGCCATCGCGCGCGACATCATCGGGTACGACCGGGGCAACGTGCTCATGGTGGACGCGAACCAGATCTGGAGCGTGCCCGACGCCATCGCCCACATGAAGCAGCTCGCCGAGTACAAGCCGTGGTTCATCGAGGAGCCCACGTCGCCCGACGACGTGCTGGGCCACAAGGCCGTGCGCGACGCCCTGCGCCCCTACGGCATCGGCGTCGCCACCGGCGAGATGTGCCAGAACCGCGTCGTCTTCAAGCAGCTGCTGGCCAGCGGCGCCATCGACGTGTGCCAGATCGACGCCTGCCGCCTCGGCGGCGTCAACGAGGTCCTGGCCGTGCTGCTCATGGCCGCCAAGTTCGGCGTCCCCGTCGTCCCGCACTCGGGCGGCGTCGGCCTGCCCGAGTACACCCAGCACCTGAGCACCATCGACTACGTGGTCGTTAGCGGGAAGCGCTCGGTCCTGGAGTACGTGGACCATCTGCACGAGCACTTCCTGCATCCGTCCGCGGTGAAGGCCGGATACTACCAGACGCCGACGGAGCCGGGGTACAGCGTGGAGATGAAGGCGGAGAGCATGGATCGCTTTAGTTACCCGGGCGAGGAGGGAGTTAGCTGGTGGAGGACTGAGGAGGCTCGGCCGATTTTGGAGGGGGAGAGGATTTAGATTTAGATCTGGAAAGGGGGCAAGGCCGCTTGGATGGGTTGGGAAGGATTTGGATTGGGTAGGAAAAGGGGCTATGCATGTAATGACTACGGCGGAGCATTAAATAGGTAAGAAGTAGGTATCGGCAATGATACATACCTAGGTTAGAGTCTAGCTAGGGAGGAGACAGTACAGATGTCCGAGAGGTCTCAGGTAATGTACAAATATCATATTATTTCACCTTGTTCGGGTTAAGTTGGTCTATAAACTTGCCATACTCACAATAACTCCTATAATACTTCATTTCGGGGGTCGGGCAGCTTCTACATCCAACAACGTAACCAGATACATCCCCCTCCTCCCATGTCAGCTCTGGTTATCTTGGACTTTTACTTCATATATTACCAACATATACATGACCATACATATACACACGAATTGCCAACCATACGACCATGCTCAACAGTCATAGTTATAGCCGTCTGATCTTCATCCACTCGTTCGTACCCAGCCCCAAGTTTAAGCCATTCCGAGCCCACCATCTACGGACCGGTCTAGGATCCCCGATGGCATCCTCAAGCGCCTCCTCGATATCACAAGTTTTATATTCCACCCTGTGCGTTCTCCCATCGACTTGGTACTCCCCCCGGGCATACTGCTTCCACCACTCCAGCACATCGACGTACCCTTGCTTCGTCGGCGCGACTAATACTTGGGAGTCAAAGGACAGCTTATCCCCCTTGAGTTCCCGCCACACGTCTAGTACCGCAGTCTGTCCGTGCGCACTAGCGATCTTGCAGACGCCCTCGCTATGAGCCGCCGGAATTCCCGAACTTTCCCACCAACGTAGTACTGCCGTCTGCCCATACTGAGCGGCAGTGAGGAGACTACGGCCAGGTTTAAGCGGGATGTTATCGTGTTTTAGCGCGGCATCCCTCCACCACTCCAAGACAAGAAGGTGTCCTTTTGCCGAGGCCGACTCGAGCGCTGCCTCAGTATACTTAAGCGTGAGGCCAGAGCGGAGCCACCAATCCAAAACATGAACATAACCCATGCGCGAAGCGTTATCTAATGCTTCGGCGTCATATTCCTTTTTCAGAAACGAAGGGGACGTGTTCCACCAGTCGAGAATATCCGTCCGCCCATATACTCCAGAAGCCTTATTCGGCAATAATTTAGAGCTGAAGGACGCCCAGAACACCTTGCTGAGATGCGTTTCTAAGTAGGTGAGAACATCCGTAAGCGAAAACTTAATGATAAGTTTTACCGCCAAATAAGACACGAAGCGAAGTCCCTTCGGTGCTTCTGAGAGTTTTTGACAAATCGCTTCCGTTCCGGGACACGAGAGAATCAACCATTCGAGATCGTGTATATATAACTCAATAGGATCAGACAGGGTCGCACGATCAGTCCTCCATTCCGGTGGTGTCTTCAAATTCGTAAATATGTTAAGAGCCGTAGCCAATTCCCAATCGCCGACGTGTTCAAATATAATGGACCATATTTCCGGCGGTAAGGTCTTGGTAGACCGACTAGTAGCTGTTGTATGCAGGGCCTGCTGGGTGGCAACTTCGACATCGTGTCCCAGGCTCATCAACTCGGCTTGGTTTTTTATTATGCCAACGAGGTCGTTGAATCCGTCCCATGATACTGTTCGCTTATGCGCACTCTGCCCCTCATAATGCCATAACACAGGGGCCATAACCTTGACCCAATTCCATTTGCGCTTGATTTTGCTCAGCTGCTTCTTCGTCATGGGATTCTCCCACATCTGCATTGACATGCCAGGTACTAACAGAATCTTCTTGGAGACATCCCACGCTCTTAATATTTCTAGAAGGGTAGTGTCGGCGATGCCAGACATCATCTTGGCGAGGTGGTCAGCATCGATAGGAGCTAGGACGAGCAGGTCAGCCCACTCGACGAGTTCGAAGGCGGTTTGTCTGGCTGATTCTATGGCATCCCTAGTCCTCTGGTCAGCGTCGATGGCCAGCGTAGCCAAACTCCTATTCTCCATGACGATGATATCATGAGTTAGTCGAACAGGTATCTCGTCGACCAGGGCACGGGTCTCGATCTGGGCATCCTTGAGGAGGCGAACGGCGATAGCCTGAGCGTAGGCGACATCTCTTCGGCCATTTGCGGCAACCAGTAGACGTAGTCTTCTAGTTCGTGGCATTAGGTGTAGCGATGAGGAGGAGGAATTTGCGGTGAGAGAAGTAGGAAAAAGACGGGGATCGAAGGCAGAGTCGGTAGAAGAATCATCGGCCATGTTGACGCATTATGACGGTGGAGCATCAGCGTCAGTACCGGTGTCTGTGCTAATAAATGGATCGGTACGGTTCGAGCACCAATGCGTGCGTTTACCGTCAGGATCGCGATAGCGTTGGTCGATATTAAGAGCGGGCGTGTAGGCGTGTAGGCGTGTAGGCACGATAGTTTCGACGATGATCTCAATCACTCGGGTACTTGACGACAGGACGGCTTGACGGCTTATCCCTGACGCTCCAGAGGCTGAGAGGCAAGGGCGGGTCGAGTCCTATAGGTAGGTTAGTATGATGGCAGAAAGGTGTAAATACTACTAGGTTACTGTACTAGACGTTATGGACGGCCCCACGCCAAGTCGCAATAGACCCTAAAAATCCAACTGGCTCGATGAACAAGAGTTTGTAGTAATCCTCTAAAGAGAGCAAGTTGAATCGTGACTTGTGCACGTAGATATCTATAAAATATGGTATGAGTGGCGGAAGTTAAAGCATGATATTTTCTGGTCTTAGACAAAATGTTCGTACGATGGATACATGTACATGCATGTACAATCAATTGTACGTCAAGTAGGTACGTACATGCATATGATATGTACCTACCTAGGTACCTAGGTTAGGTACTTACCCTGAAGCCGAAGCTGCTGGGACTTCACTTCCAGGTTGCTCCACCTCTGTACCCAAATCAAGACTTGATAGTGGGGTAGGCTAGCTGGTCAAACATCAATACGCAGGTACATGTCCGGATCTGTATGCACCCGTTTTATTTTTTAAGGCAGGTAAATTACCTATGAGGTAGTCTCAAACCTTAGAAGCTGACCAAACAAAGACACCCGAGAGGCCGTAAAAGGTCGGAGCTAAGTACGGGTCTGAACTTGTCAAAATATTATCCAAACTCCCATAAATCTTAAATGCTTAAAAGGCACCCAGGTAAATAAGGTAGGTAGGTACCTAATGCATACATCTATAGCACACAGATATGCAAAAATCTACAATAAAAAGAAACACATCCCGACATCACGAAGCGAACCTATTACAATAAGTGATATTCCAATTCTAAGAAGAAATCCTAATTTTCCATTCCGCAATCGAGAGGGTCTCTTTATGTTCTTCTTACCCCCGGTCTACATGGAATATGCGCGCTATGGTGTGTACCGTACAACAAAGCATATAGTAAGCATAGGACAAACAGGTATCTGATATCCTAGCCTTAACGATTAAACCGGTATAAACAAGGGGGGGCTGATAACAGTTGCGGTGGTGAATGTAGACGTGAATATAGAGGTCGCCATGTGTAAGAGCCTCGTCTTCCTATGTGGTATCGAGGAAGAAAAAATAGTTAAAAGAGAAAATGTAACTCGAACGCCTTGTCGCTCGCCTGGCAGAAGAAGTCGTTATCAGCGCAAACCAATTACACTCATCTCAAGTGTCCACACTCTCCGAATCCACACTTTCAGAGTGCCCTCTACACCCTCCACGTCTTGCAGATCCACTCCTTCCCACCAGCAACGCCGCGCTGGCTTTCTCCAGAAGAGCAGCAACTTCTGCGCCATGCCGACAGCATTGTTTCCCATGTCGTTACCGCGTATATCACTACGTAGTCGAGCAAGGGCCAAACTGCATACGACAGCTTTATTAGGCTCGCCAGCACGATGGCCCCACCTATCATCGTGGTTGAAACCGCTGTATTGATCGTTAGGAATAAGCAATTCGTAAAGGAATTGGAACAGGACGAGACGCAAAGAAATGCCACTTACCCAGCTGTCAGCATCTCGATCAAGTGCGCCTCGGTCGTACCGGGCTCGTCGCTTCTTTTAAGCCCCGAAAAGATCCCGTCTTGCTTGAGCAAAGCTCTGGCAGCGGCACGCTTGACCTCGATCATTTCAGCTTGGTTAATGTCCGGTCGAGGGGGAATCGCATAAAAGTCAAGGTCTTCTCGCAGGACAATAATACCAGCTCGCTTGCTTCCGTCATCACCTCGGCCGCCCAGCGAGTCGATGGGAACAGCACCGCCATCCGGGGAGGCAGTAGGGGAGGCTTCATTGGGGATAGATTGGGCTACATTCCGGAAGAAATCCAGCATGTATTGTAGAGATGCAGGATCATACTGGGAAATAAGGTCAGTGATATGTATATTTATATTGGAGACGAGATTACGAAGTGTAGAAGCAGGAAAACGTGTGCTAAGGGGCACAGTAGGCGCTTCGCATGTGATATTTGAGGTAATCTGAGTGAAATGTGTAGGGGGGTTATCATTGAGTGTACTGACATCGACTTTAACGGCATCACCCTCGGAGAAGCCGCCCATGTGGCCTTCGGGAAAGAGGCCGTTGGGGAATAAGGAGAGGAGGACAAATTCAGGTAGCGTCAGCAGCTCGTCTCTAGATAGTATGAAGCGCGTGCCACTACACGGAAGACTCAATTAGCATCCAATCAAGAGATTATCCAGTAAGAATGATTTACCGTAAGTCCATGGTGATGGTTTCGTCAACGCCGACATCTGTAAGACAGGTTTAGTATTCCTATTCAATTCGGAGAGTACTGTTTCTTGCGCCTCTTACCTCCGATAGCATTAACAGGAGGACCTCCTTGCTGGACTTGAGTAATAATACTCGACGCACCACCGGCAGCCGCCATTAGATACGTAAATGAGAGTAACGGACTATATCCTTCAGAATATGCGGGAGGCGGTTCGTTGGGATCGTCGACTTTCTGGCTCGACTCGCCCTTGACGTCCTGCGGGAGCGCCCGTTTAGTTTCTTCGACTGTGTCGTTGAACGAATTAGACCTCTCGAGAGGGCTGTCAAACGCAGAGTCGGAAGGTGCGTAGGCTGGAGCAGCAGTCGCAGATGATGCACCGGCTTCGGAAGTAGGTCCGCAGGTAGTCGGCGCAAGCTTGAAGTGATCGTCTACGGTATATAGACTTGAAAACGGCGGCGGGGCGGAACGAGAGGCGGCTAACGAGAACGATGTGGAAGCAGAAGCTTCAGAAGTTGGGTAGGGATATTGCGGAGGAGGTGAACGTCCCCGGCTGAGATTGTCTACTCCGTCGTTCTCGAATCTCACGTTCCCTTCGTCTTCGTCGATATTGGTCGGTGGGAGCCCGGCGGACACGGACTGTCCGTGACTTTCCTCCTGCAATTCAGACAACTTGGCGGTGTAAGCTGCGAAGTGGAAAGCTCCCTTTTTTTGTGAGCGGCTGTTGGCGCTGATGTTATTCACGGCCGAATGCGTCGTCGCTTTGAATCACACACGGCAGCAAGTGGGCTGATGTCTCTGTCGCATAGGGAATCGGACACTAAGTTTAGATATTAAGCATCACTTTGATGATCAAAAGTTTTCGCAATTGTACAAGATCAAAAGTGCCAAACAAGTTCAAGAACGGTAAGTTGCAATTATGAAGTTGATGATTCTGGGAATCCCAGGCTCGACTTCCTTAATTTTATTGGTACCGACAAGGCCCCCTGAAGCTGGAGTACACCGATGTATCTTAAGGCTTTATTTGGCAGAAAGGTACTTAGCAATCTTGGTGCGACCAACAGCCTGGGGTGCCGCCTGCCATGTTTGGTCACAACATTATGACTGGTTGACTAACCGCCAATTGTTAGTCAATCCAATCAATCAAATTAGTAGAGTTATCCATAACAATGTCCAATCGATAAGGTATCCCTTCAGTCCGTTAAAGAAACAGCTACCTTTATTGTCTGTCTAATTCTTGCCTTAGACAAGTCTACTTTCAAAGTCATTTGATGTTTCAACACCGAACCCTAAAATGTTGAAACAGTTTGTGCAACAGTTTATTTATACAGTCTGTTTCTACGTCTGAAGTAGATACCTACCTAGGTAGATACCTAAGGTTACCTAAGGTATATGTTGGGCCTATGACTACTTGTAATGTTCTATAACTAGGCCCTTACATACCTAAAGTACGCATATCCAGCACATCGATGGGTAAGAGATGCAGATACATGGGTATGGATATCTAGGTGCTGTTTAACAAACACGAGGTTCCAATCATAGAATAAGTAAGTATAGAGGATTAGGTAGTTATTTTAATAATCAATGTTGATAGATGATTATACTTGTCTTAGTCCAAGTAATACCATAATAGCAAATAGAAGTATGTCTTCCTTTCTCAGCTCGAATATAGCGAATATCATGAACTATCATAGGTAAGGATCGAAAGAAGATAAAGAATTTCATGGTCATCCCCTAAAACAAGTCATAGTATCACACCCGTGAAATAAACCTCATATTACCATCTCTACGACCGCTATAAGATATCACGTTTATTTCCTAAGTTTTAAGGCCGTCGCAGGAGGCAAGTAGACCTGCTTTTTAGTGACCAACAGTCCTGTCAAATCAATGCCTCTTCTACATATGAACGCCGGGCTTCATGACAATCATCCTCGACCCGTCCCCGTAATCGATTCCTTCATCTACTAGGACTAGGCCTAGGTTCTCATTCCTCCATCGTCTTGACGCATTCCCATTCGCCTCGCAAGTTCTCCTTCCATAACGAAACCTTATTGTCGCCGCCGCTAACGGCCAATACGTTCCCGCTAAGACTCCAGCTGACGCGCCACACCTCTGCGTCGAAGTTCAAGACCTTAGACGACCACTGTCCCTGGCTAGCATTATCGCTCGTCCAGATTCGTACCGTCTTATCTTGCGACGCCGATGCAATATAGCTCTTCTGCAGTACTGTTGGGCTCCATGCCACATCTCGTACCCAGTCTGTGTGCCCTGCCAATGGCTCCCGCTCCTGCTTGTATCCTTGCGAGGCAGGATCGTAGGCCCACAGCTTAAGCACGTTATCGCAGCCTCCCGTGACGAAACGGCGCTGGCCAAGAGCACCCGGGCCTGGAGGTGCGGAAGAGACGATGCTACCAGGCGTTGTGGCAGGTGCCCAGGAAACCGAGTTGACACCAAGGCCGTGTGCCGGGAACGAAACGTGGGAGAAGTTGTTGTCCTTGAACTCGAGCACGGACACGTTTCCGTCAGATGACGCGCACGCCAGAAGACAGCCTGATTCGTGCGGTGACCATGCGACCATATTCACCGAGGCTTTATGGAGAGCAAAGTCGAAGATTCTTTGCCATTGGTTCGATTGTTCGCGCCAGATAAAGACCTTGCCGTCGTAGCCTGCCGAGGCGAGGATGTTGCCGTACTTAGGATGCGCCCACGAAACACACCACACTGCGCCTTCGTGACTATACCCACGATTGTTAGGGGTTCTGTTATTTTGTCAGGGAGAAACAATCCATACCCTTTTAACGTCTCAGTCAGCCGTTGAGATTCGCCTTCGATCTCGAATATCTTAATCGTCTTGTCCGAGGAACATGTTGCAAGCCGTCGGCCATAGTAGTCGAGGACAGCATCATGCTAAAGGATGTTAGCGAAAGCTTTAGTACGACCGTAACAGGGCGTTGAGGGTAGAGCTATCGTATCGAGTAGATTCGAGGCGCAGTATGCATTTTGCTCGATGTTTTACATACAATCATGTCATCGTGGCCAGAGTTGGTTATTACTTGCGCCTGTAGTAGAGCAAATGTCAGTAAGTTACAGACTAACAGCTACAGATTTGACTAGCCAACGTACCATCTTGAAAAGAGAAACCTGTAGAGAATATAAAGCTCGGGACTCGAACAAGGAGGGCCGTGTTGTTGTTATCTGATTTAGGTCTTGATAGGATCACCTTGGCTTTGAATCTTTGATGTTCAAGCTGGCTGTCAAGTCGCCTATACCTTCAACTTGGCAGCTGAGGTAAACAAGTGGTACACTACCTACAATCCGTACACCAAAGATCAATGGCACGCATTCAATGTTACTGGTTGGTTGCTTGGTTGGTGGAACAGTCCAGATTTCATTAAGCTGAGCTCCACTTCAGCGCTTTTTCGGATTAATATTTTTCATTTTTCAATGGCGTAGAACAAGGGCCCCGGCAAGACTGGAAGGGTTCCACTGGCATGCACATGGCGGGGTCCTGTGGGGATTTTGCTTGTAGGTACGTACCTGCGTTAGTAAGGATCTTGAGCCGATAAGAGAAGAATTGACATCATGGTTGGGCCGGTCGGTACGGATTACATGTATATTGAACCGTGTCTGCCGAGGCTAAAGCTTACATCGCAAAGAAACTCCGAACGGTACCTTTCCTCGTGATGCTGATTTGAATCACTTCAAATTCAACATCTACAATTTGCGAGAAAGAGTTGTCATTATTTCTTCAACTTCGTCTCTTCCCCCAACGTGTATTATTAGTATACCTGCGCGCCTGTCTATATTGCGCAACTTCCCTAACAACCTGACTCAGTAACCTAGGATATCAAGGTTCTGACCAACTCAGAACGCTATTTTCGTCTGTTCCTTTGTCTACGAAATACCTGGCAAACATCTTTTAGGTCACCACCGCTTTCAAGTTCCACGCGCACGCACATACACACACACACACATACATGCCGAAATCTTCGCCAATTCCTCAACTCTCTTCTTTCCTCAACTAAACTCGACCTTCATTCAAAAAGTTAGCGACTAGCCGAGTACCACACCCTCAACCACAACCTCAACCACAACCAAACCTCCATATCACATCGCCACCTTGTACCATTCCATCAGAATGGCGGACAATCTCTGCGGTCCTTCGACTGCTCCCAAATCGCTATCCCGACACTTTGAACAGGACCGTTCTCTACAGCAAGACCGATTCGCTTCTTCTGCCGGACCCTCGAGCGGCGTTCACGATGCGACGCAGGTTAGTATTCATCTTAGCTTAGCTGATTCAACGTCTTCGTCTAACACTATCACAGCGCTTCCGCAGCCTTAACTTGGGCGACAACAGATTCACGTCGGAATTCTCGGAATTCCAGAATGCATCCTTCATTGATCTCTCCCCTGACGTTAGAAATTGGAACCATAATCACCAATTAGTCCCTTACCCATCCTTTGGTAACGACGATGCCTTCTCGCCCATTGATCGCGCCAACGTTTCAACGCGCCCTAGAGTTGCCGCCGAGCGCTTCAATACCTCCTCCCGAACTGGCGCTGCCGCCGCCGCCGCCTTCCCTACCATGCCCATCATGTCTACCCCTGTAGGCCCTCCCACCACGACTCATGTCCCGAACCTCATCGCTCAACGTCGTACAGACTGGGCCAACGAGTTCAATCAGAGGATGGCCGGTCGCAATTTCAACCAGATGAACCAAAGCTTCGGTCCTCCCGGACAGGCATTTAGACCTACGAACATCTATGATGAAAACATGTTACGACAGCGTATGGCCATCCGCCCTGATCAGGTCCCCGGCTTCAAAGACGATCTCGACTTTGACGCCGAGCTACGCGCCTGGGCAGCTGCCAACAGTCCCGAGACGCAAGCTCAAGCCAACGCGTGGCTTCGTGTCGAGGATGCCTCTGCAGACAGCCGTGTCCGCAACACCCAGGCTACTACGCAGTCGGCTGATTCTCATCAACTTACCATGCAGAATCTGACTGCTCTCGAGCAAGAGTCTGTTCCGGCAGCCGAGCACACCCGGAGCAATTTAGCCGAATCAACAGCTGAGATGGAGAAGCAGGCTCAGTCTCGAGGAAAAGAGGACTCGGAACTAGCCATGGCCGCGCAGCAGATCCTAGATTCCGTCTCGGGGGACAAGTCTGATAAGTTTAAGAACTCTGGCTTCATTCAGATGATGCAGAAGATTGCGGCGCAGGAACTAGTCGTTCGGGATAACAACTTAGTTGAATCTTCCCAGACGATCGCTAACTAAATTGATATTGATTGCTAATACCGACACCGAGGCGCCGCCACTAAAAGAAAAGGTGGCGTTGAAGCCCGTTGCTGTCGAAGACTCATTTTCATGAGTAGAGCTAGGACTGATTAAGGAGCGAGATGCTTTACAGGCACGCGTTGATTTTTACCAGTATGTAGAAATAACATACATTATGATACCCTACAGTGTTGTATTCTATTACTAGCTGTGCATGTTTCCCTACTGCGAGTCGTAATTCATAATTTCCTGTAATAAGCATATACATAGGTTTGTCTGTACTTCCCATCTCTTCTAGCTAGCGCTATGATATATAGGCCACGTTCACTCCTTAATTCTACCCTTATGCTTAAAGGAGAAACTTGTCTATGACATATTCAAATATCACTTTTGCGCTACCGATGCTCAGGAGCCGTAGTACTCGGGGTAAGGGAACGGAAAAGAAGGCGTTGACGCCAGCCCGAGTTCCCAGGATCCCGAATAAGGGGTAAATATAATCCCCGTATAACCCATTCACCCCTTCCCCCATTGCAGAGGCTGGTAGCCAAACAAAAAAGCACAAGAGAATCCATACCAATAAAAAGGGTGGCTGTGCTCATAATAAGAATCCAATGAAAGAACACATACCAACCCGGATCGCAGCCTTTCGTCATATCCGCATCGACCGCCCCGGGTCCGACCGTGCCGCAATAGTTCACATACGCCTACGAGACAAGGCAACCAATGCGGAGCCCGCGGACCTCACCGGCGGTAAGGCGTCCACCCAAAATTCAAATACAAGTACAATATTCGCCACGCGGGTGCGGGCGTCCTAAGGCGGCTGTCTCGCGATTCCCATCCCCGGTTAGTTGCCGTGATTCCTGCAGGCGGCTTACGTGAACACTGGAGAATAAAATAAAACGAATGCCGGGTACCTACGTATGATATGTATTTTAGAGTCGGACTTACGGGAGTTGAATGCATGTATGTCGATGTTGCATACATATACTTATATGCACAAGATCTACTATAGGTACATGCCTACGCTTGGTATGATGTCGAAGAGGTTATGAGCAGCTGACGAGAGCCGCTACGTAATACGGACGGCGTGTGAAGCGGCGTTAAGGTAGCCGGCCATATCGAGCATTTCCACGGACGTAGGCCACAACGTAGTAATATGCAATGCCTTCGTAACCCGACATTGTTAGGCCTATAAGCACGGATGAATTCGTAGAGCACTAACGCGGCTCTGCGCACCTTATAGGATTAGATCGGAGCTCTGCCTAATATGCAGAGAGGCAACGTGGCCTCGTTAAAGAACCCATCTTGGTTTGGCGTTGTGACGAGTGAACCAAGAGTTAGGAACGAAAGAGAAGACCTGTATATGCAGGACTGGGGGTCCTACGTACCTAGGTAGGGCTGACAAGGCGTGCCGTGTCGGCCTGGGAAAGATGCGGATGCGGTCCTTTTTCTCCTGTGATGTCGTGAAATGTCTCAAACATGTAACCTAGACTACCAATGGTTTTATCTCATTTGATATTCGGAACGCATACCATAGGTATGTAATAGAAACGGGTCCTCAAGAACCGGAAAGCAACGGCGTAAAAGACTGCGCCCTGCGTCTTGTAGAAAGGATGGAAACGCACAAACGCATCTCAGCCTGCTATCCACCAATATGCAACCCTACTGTGGATAACCATGCAAGACAGGGTCCCTAAAGTAGGCAATCTTGGTGAGATTTCCGTAAGACACTGGTTTACACAGTATACGAGTCTCTCCGTTTTTGTTCCTTTGCCGTTTCAAATAACCTTTTAATCGCGGGATATTCGTACGTCGGCTCTCCGCGCCGTAAAACACGATATAACCACTTTCGGTATGAGGTGCGGTTAAGAAACGGAAAGAAGGCAGGACATGGCGAGAACCATCCTTGCTGAATAATCTGCCTGCCACTGTTATGTACGATAGTGATTATGTGATTATGGTATAGTCGATAATGTAGTCTAGGTGTAGTCTATAATGTAATGTATGTAGTCGAATGCACGAAGGGTCAAGCGTGAAATCGAGTACCTTATGAGTCATAATCCGAACGACAGGGCTAAGAAATACTGAAACTGCAACTACTATTGTATGTATGTAGGCGTTGGAATTGGTTGATCCGATTGCTTAAAATGCTCCTGTCGCTGATCTATTACCCATGTCGCTGAACCATGGCCTATCCTAATTCAGATTCGATTTCGCCAGAGACAGGGCGCCCATGAACACTGTGGGGTTGAAAAGATGCAAGAATGGAATGGATGGATATTTTAATTTTTCGATGCAGCCCGCGTTGCGCCCGCGTCTGCGAATCTTCAAGTATTCCGTATACGCAATTGGGTTGACGACTGCGCATATGCGAAAAACGTACCTAACAATGGATCCGCGATGCCATGTAAATCCGTATCAAGCATCGACCATATGTTGGTTCTTAAATCTCCTGCGACTGCATCGATGGATCATCGTCAGTGGAGCCAGTGAGATAGTAATTTTGAAATAAAGTGAAGAAAAAGAAAAAAAAGTTAGCGGAGACGGAAATAAGCGAATTGATCAGCATAACAACCGTTCAATGAAAAGCTGACCATTCAAGACTTTAAAAGAAGAATACGGTGCCATATGCTGAGAAGAGGTAGTGTACCGCATGTGATAGATTAATAATGAACAATCGTAAAGTCGAGTTCGAGACCGAAGGCCGCCCGACTTGTATGAGGTAGGTAGGTAGACTTCCATGTATGTACCTAAAGTACTAATGGAATTCAAAGACTCGTAATTGCGATGTAGCTAAGCGTTTAGCTCGATGTTGCATCCAATATCTCCATTCCGGGCCCAATTAAATGTTCCATCTAATACCTACACGATGGATACGTACGCGCTACAATATGTGTAAAGCGGGTTTCTCGAGACATTTTGTCGTCGGTGAATATCACGAGGAGGATAATCTCTGCTTCCTATGGACAAGAAGACTTTAGAAGACCTTTCCTCATTGAGCTGGCCGACGAGCAAAGAGCCAATGGAATTCATTTGCGACACGTAGGAGCGAAAGGACAAGAATAGGAATATCGTAATCCGTCACAAGCCTTAGCTTCAAATGGTTTAGAGTCTTGGCGATGCAGCCCCGAGAAACCGGTAGGACGGACAGAGAGATCCACGGATTTAATTAAAATAGGAATTAAGAACTAAAAACGGTGTTAGCATATGTAAACTTCCATCAGTTGCGGCAAGGTTCATATCTACATACATACGGAGCAGAATTACAGCAGGAAATACGGAAGAAGGCTGTGCGCTAAGTTGAAGGGGGAACATTAGGTGGCAGGGGTCGTTAGTGCAGAACGGAGCTGTGGATCCATCAAGTATGAGTCACACGCTCTCAAGCGAAAGTATTTTGTTCTTTCCTAACTGAACATGTGTTCTATCCGTCAAGCTTGCCCTAGAAGTCGCTTGCAATCAAAATTGTTAATGGTTAGCAAGTGACTGTCAGATCTAACTAGCCGCACCCAGGTACCCTTGGCTCCATATGTACCCACGCGTTACGCCTAACAAGTAACGCTAAGACCCCCCTGCGCCCCTCCCCGTTTATTCCGTTTCTTGACAAAGTTGCAAAGTTGCGAAGGTGCGAGGCACGGGTTTTTGTCTTTTGGCTTTGGCTCTTGGCCTAGGTTAAGGGATTGTTGCCTGAAAAATTACTAAAGTCTCACCTCTCCCACCGAAATTCAGGCACGAACCTTTTTTTCTTTTCTCCCCTCTTCTATTCTATATCCCCCTCCGCACAATTACAGAACCATATCATAAGCAGACAATAAAGCATTCATCAAGATGCGCTAAGCAAACCGGACCTCGTGTCTTCTCTCTTTCTCATGTGCTCCCCGTAGCAACAGTCAAAATTCAGTCTCAAAGGAATAACAACCATCTCCCCACTCAACCCTTCTTCTCAGCTCTCCCTTTCCAGGAAGAACTGAACTCAAACGAAGCTATTCACGGCTCTCCGAGTTCCCTCACTACCGCCAACATTCCTCAGCAAGACTCTCTAGTCTTCACCACGGATTCTCAACAGCAAACATGGCTTCCCTCCAGTTCCCCGAGCCTGCCGGCACAATCCGCGCAATCCAACTTCCCACCGCCGCAACAGGACTTCGTCTTGTTCGATCAACCTCCGCCTCAGAGACAGAACGTTAACCGCTCTGTATCCTCGCCTGCCCCAGTAGCAGTATCAGCCTTTGGATCTCTCAACGTCAACCCTAGCCGCTCTCCGCACATTACACACGGTTCTTCACCTTCAATCCAGAATCAGCGAGTGGCTCAGATTATCCGGGCAACAGGACATCAGACTTCTTCCTCTACGGCATTTACCAATCGGTTTAATTCTTCTGTGCAAAATCAGAGCCTACAACAGTATTACGCATCAGTTTCTCCTTTACCCTCTACCGCGGCGGCGAACCAAAATCGTGCTGTTCGCCCACCCGTACCTCTTTTCACGCAGGGCGGCGGTAATCAGCAGGCGGCCAGGATGGATCTTCAAGGTAATTACTCAACCTCTTTCTCAAATTGCATCCCTGTCTTACACAACCCAGACGCTCTTAGCCTTGAGGACCTCACGGCCTTCCAGGGGCCAACGACTGCCTACTCTTCCCCTGGAATTCCCGGCTACGACGTGAGTGCGAGCTCTGCCTCTAGCACTGCTAGCAACATGGGGACAATTTCACCCCAAGATTTGTTCCTCGACCCCACCACGTCTGCCCCGAACTCCACCGCGATCACGAATTTGACGTCACCTTCCATGTATGACGGGTCTCCTGAACTTCAAGATTATGATTTTGAATTGTCCCCGAATCTCGGTGGTAACAACGATTTCGACCATGGCTTTAGTAGGGCATGGCCTTCTTTGTTTCCTGAGGATAACCCAGTTGTCAATGCTGCCCCTACCGCTGACGAATTGTCACCGGCACAGCAGTCTGATGAGCTAGAGGTGGCGGAACCCGCTTCTAAGCCTCGTCGCAAATCTGGTAACTCACCGTCGTCCGGGAATCATGGCAGACACTCTTCAGTGTCTGGTGTGAACCCTCGTCGTCGGGATAAACCACTTCCTCCTATCATAGTTGATGATCCGAACGATTCGGTTGCGATGAAGCGAGCACGAAACACACTGGCAGCTCGTAAGTCTCGTGAGCGTAAAGCGATACGGTTTGAGGAACTTGAAGCGAAGATCGCTGGTCTAGAGAAAGAGCGTGATTTTTGGAAGAGGAGATGCGAAGCACTAGAATCTCAAACTGGTTAACATTGGTAACATGATGGGATGTGTGTTGCGCGAAACGAACTGGAGGGTAGCCCAATGATGGCGACCCATCCACTTTCAACGAGGCAGCAGTATCAAGTTGGTACTATCGGCGCAATCAGGTAAGACGCCATCTGCCGTGGATATATATTATAGTGAGTTCTTACATGTCGTTTCTGAGCATATTTTTTTTTGGAGTTCCCGCAGTTGAGGAACCAATTAAAACAGGTGGTCGGTATTTCCTAGTGTCTGTTTTCAATAGTCAAGTAGTCTCCGCCACTTCCCATTGGGCTTTTTGGGGCCAGATATCAATACAGCGATTTCAGTATATATGTTGATCATGTCCTTTCGAATGAAGTTAACCAGTGCATTCCGTACCATCGTGATTCGTTCCACATCGTATTAATCTAAGTATCGATCGATCTAAGATCACAGGTAACGTTTCCTAGACTTCGGTTGCTTATTTTATACTTGTATGCCTAGGCGTAGTAGTGTTTGCTCGCTTGCGTCTGCCCTCCGGGCGGGTTGTTGTAGTTTTCTTGTGGAAACGGAAGCAAAATAAGTCCAGCTTGGTCTATACCATGTAGGCGTGTATCTGCTACGTACATGTTTACGTAGATTCATTCGCTTCAGCGAGCAGTTTGTGGCTAGCAATCTTCTGAACAGTTTATTTGCTTCCTTTTGCTCTATTCCGCAGACGTACTGCCGGTTTGTAATTGGGTTTGCTAAGATGGGCTGAAATATACTACATAGTGAGGCAACAAGTAGATGATCTAGATTATTTCTTGGTGACGTTTTGAGACACTTTAGCTTGTGTCGAGTCTGGTGTCTTAGAAAGGGTCAGTGTATAGAGTCCGTCTATAGTTATATAAAAGACACTACATAGGCAGCTTTGGTTTATTTATGCAGAGAATTGATAACATATAATCATAGGTATTCTATCTGAGGCCGTTGGTTTGAGATTGCAGTTTCATTATACAATATTAGAGAAGATTCCTAGCTATTGTTCAGTGATTCCAGGTATAGCACTCGAAAGCGTTATATGTATCCCCCTTAAAACGGTTGGCATATTGCACTTGACCCCTATACAACAAGATACCTACATTGATACATATATACAACACCACTACCCTATGTCAATGTTATCAGTAAAAGGGATATCCAGGGGTTTTAAGGAGGCAAGTGACTGGAGAGGATGGCGTTGTAGCTACAATATTATCTTCTAGACCAGTGTGACCCCTTTAGATGTCACAGAATCAGTTGAATAAAGGGCCAGGCTTTCCCGTCTAAGATAGTAGACAAGAACCATAGTATTGGGCATTGTGTACGGTTTAATGTAATAAAGTCCATAAAGCAAGCTACCTATGAAAAGAACAAGCTAGCTGTTTTATTTCTCATCCGGAAGCGAGCAGGGCGTCCGATGCTGAAATACTTACTCGAAAGGGGAAAAAAAGATAAAAAGCGAAAAAAAGCAATAGAACAACAAAAAAAGACTAAAAAGCAGGCCCCAAAGGTCCAACCCCGGCGCATTTGAACTTAGCAAGAAGGCCTATCTCGCCGCCCTGCGCCGTGCTCGAACCCGGAAACGCCATCGAAAAACCCCGGCGGGCGGATTTTATCTACGCCGTCATACCTAGAAAACCGCTAAGCCACGGCCTCGTTGGGTTGCGTATCTAAAGGTCAGGAGTGAAGGAGGGTTTTGTTAATTGGTCTTTTAAGGATGTTGCGGATTGCTTGGGGAAATGCGTGCTGGTATGTACGTGCTTGGGTTGGTGGTTGGTTGCCTGGGGACGGCGAGGTTGGTGAGGGGCGTGTTTAGGTGGGCTTCGCGCGCGGTTTTGGGTGCTGTGCTGAGGTAGAGGTAGAGGTAGAGGTAGAGGTAGAGGTAGAGGTAGAGGCGTGACGGGAAGAATACGTGAGATGCTGCCAATACTACCTCACTCCTATCTATATGTTAAATACTTCCAAGCTTCACCCCTTCGTAGGTAGTTTAGACACCGCATGTTCACGTAAACAGGCAGTCCCATTGCCAATTTGTACTTATATATTTCTCTATACTTTCCACTTTGATTCGATATCTCAAACGTGTAAGTAATATATATCATCATATCTAAATCATGCTTTTATGCCTTACGATTAGGAAGAGTGTCCCTAACCATATTTCAAACAATACTACGGAAAGGAGGAGATCAGAAAACAGTCTACACTTCTCGTGTGGCAATGATTTAGCATCTCCTATTATTGCTTCAAGAACTTATACAAGGCCATCTCCCAAATGCTGTCGGGGGCGGGCTAGCTAACGGAGATCTTAATAGTATATGTCTTTTGTAAGCCAACTGCTTCTTTCTAGATATATGGGTATAATTACTATCTCTTATGTAGTTGTAGAAGACTATTGATACCTGAAGCTGAAGGTAGACGGATTACACCGTGTCCGTCTCGGAATCAATAACACATGGGATACCAATAGCTAAGCACACAATCGGTATTTTAACATCTCATCATATCTCATTCATATATACCCATCTACCTAACCTATACCCCTTACACACCCCCTTTTATCCTATTCAACAACCCCCTAATGCGCCTTAACCACACCAGCCGCATCCGCCTGCGCCGCAATCCTCTTCTTGTACGCCTGTACATCTCCAGGGAACTTCCAAACCGTCCCATTTTCACAAACCCACAAGCTCGTGCACACCGTCTGCAACATCGTCACGTCGTGAGAAACCATGAGCACGCCTCCTTGGAACTCGCGCAGCGCCTCGGACAAGGCGTCCATGGCCTCGATATCAAGATGGTTAGATGGTTCGTCAAGAACAAGAATGTGCGGCTGCGTGAGGGCCAGACACGCGAACGCAACCCTCGACTTCTGACCTCCAGATAATACGGCCATCTTTTGCAGACCGGTTGTGCCCGTAATGCCGAATGCGCCGAGTGTCCGGCGGTACTCCTCGTCCGTACGGCCAGGGTATTCTTTAGACATGAAGCTGACGGCGCTCACGGTGAGGTCGAGCGCGTCCACGTGGTGCTGTGCGAAGAAACCGATGCGCAGGCGCGAGTTCTGCTGGATGAGACCCTTGGTTGCCGATAACTTGCCAATAAGTAATTTTAGGATGGTGGTTTTACCTGCACCGTTAGGCCCAACAATACCGATACGTGAGTCCAGTTGCACGTCCAAGTCCACGTTACGTAGTAGGATATTGTCTTCGCTGTACCCGAATGTGACCCCTGACATTTGCACGATTGGCGGCGAAAGCTTCTCCACCTCTGGGAACCGGAACTTGACACTGTATTCTGTCTCTGGCGGTTCGAGAATAGGCATACGCTCCAGCTTCTTGATACGCGACTGTGCTTCGGCAGCCTTGCCAGCGTTGTACCGGAACTTGTCGATGAAGGCCTGCAGATGGGCGCGCTGCGCCACGTTGTTTTCGTACTCTCGCTTTGCGGTCTTCTTACGCTCCTCTCGGGTGGCGTAGAAGGATTCGAAGTTAGCTCCTCTGTAGTAATCCAGCCTCATCGAGTGCTGGTGTATAATATCTGTCGCGACTTCGTTTAGGAAAGCCCTGTCGTGACTGACTACCAAGACGGTGCTCGGATATGTGAGTAGATAGTTGGAAAGGAAAGTAATCGAGGGGACGTCCAACATGTTGGACGGTTCGTCGAGCAGTAATAGATCAGGCTCGCAGAAAAGGGCTCTGGCAAGGGCTAGACGCATACGCCAACCACCGGAGAACGTCTTGGTTGCGAACTGCTGGCGCTCGGCGGAGAATCCCAGACCGGCTAGAATACTAGCAGCTCTGGACTCTGCCTTGTCTGACTCCATTTCGGCCAACTTGGCCTGGATTTCTCCCAACTTCTGGTCAAGCGCTTCTCGGTCAAGGTCCAGCTTTGCAGCATCTACGGCAGTATCTGCCATAGACGATCGCTGTGACTCGATTTCGGCAAGACGAGCTGTTATCTCCTAGAAACAAAACATTAGCGACTGCTACTAGAGTCATGGAAAGGACAACGTACTGTTTGCTCTTTGAGTAACACCTTCCGCCAAACGTCGGCATCCAAGACGGCCTGTAAAGCGGATGTGTCATCACCGGAGATCTGACGTATATTAGCATATAGGGCGTATTATTTAGCTGAGATGGGTGACATACCTCTTGTTCGACGTGGAGAATAGAAATATGCGTAGGCACTGGTAACTCTCGTCTTGAGAGCGCTCTGAGCAGCGTAGATTTACCAACACCGTTGTGACCAACTAAACCGTAGCGGTGCCCGTATGCCAATGTTAAGTCCGTATCCGCCAAGATACGGGTACCACCAATGCCGACATCAATATTTTCAATTTTGATATCTTTCGTTTTGCCGGCGCCGCTGCCAGAGCCAAGTTGTAAGGGGTTGACAGCCATGTAGAACTCCTCATAGCTCTGAGCATCCTCGGCTTGGTTGATCAGTTTAGATGCTTCATACTCAACCGTCTTGAACTGCTTCTTGCTCTGCTTGGCGGCGATTTTGCGCTCTGCCTTCTCAAGCTTCTTCCGGTCAACCTTAGACTCTACCTTACGAGCGTTGGCAGATTCAAGATCGACACTCCCGGTAGCCACAGCTAGAGTCGAGGACATATTTCGCTGAGCACCGACCTGGATGGCCTGGTCTAGCCGCTTCACGGCGGACGGACCCCGTCTCTCACCATTGCTGCTGTTGACTTCCTCGTACTTGTCAACCCACTTGGAGACTATGGATCGAATCTTGTCCTGGTTGGACCCAGCCGAATCACCGGAGGCAGACAAAAGGAGCTCAGTGACAGCAGCAGCGGCCTCGGCTAGCGGAGACAGGCCAGAGGATTCCTCGTCGCCGACCCACGCGGTGGATGCATGTCTAAGATAGCCTACCGAATATTCGGAGACAACGGGATCGATATCCGGAATAGCGGCTCTGATATCGGCCTCCATTTTAAGAGACGGGATGGGACGGGAAATTAGCGTGGAGGAATTATCGAGGAATTATCGAGGAATTATCGATCCCAGCGAATGGTAGTCCGTGGTACTTCTCGAACGGGACTCAATTTGCGAAGACCTCAGCCTGGTTCGTTCCCCCCCCCCTGGGATCTGGAATTAGGTAGAAGAAACACGGGCTTCTAACAACGTTGGATCCCTGGTTGTAAGATTTAATTTCCAAGGTACGGCGGGAATATCCGATCCAGTATCTTGTATACCTAGTTGCGGATGTTCCTTTTGCTGCCCCGAGCGACGGTCACGGATTGAAAGCTTGGACTACGACGATCCGTATGTATGACCATATGTATGACCATATGTATGAATAGGCACAATTGTCACAAAATGAAGTCTGAAATGTATGGATTAAGAAAGAGTGGACCCGGATACAGCGACACAGTAAGCAAATAGTCATTGATATATTAATAACACTGTACTAAGTATATCGCCCATATAAATATGTAATTCATGTGCATAGGTACCTAGGTACCTACATTATGTAATTAATTTTATTCCATGCGTTTGTTTGTACCTATGTAACTAACCAATATACAAGTACACAGGTACATCACATGTAGAAGCGGCCGACTTTCATGTAAGTGTCCGTGACATGAAGTATGAATTCAAATTTTCTCGATCGTTTGAATAAGAAAGTCGATCAATAATAATATTCGGCTAATTAGTCAGAGTCATGTTTGAATCAACCGGCGCTACAACGTTGACCTTTAAGATCACGACGCTTCAGCCATACCAAGTGCCTTCAGGGGTATCCCCTTGCCATAGTACGATGCTGGAAACCTATCTTATTCTTCCCACTCAGTCGACGGCTAGGTCCGATTGATATATGCTGGGATGACTTGATATGATAGGCTACCGACGTGAGGGGATAGGATCCGGCTATATCTCAAAGAGTGCTTAACCAAGAAATCCCAGCCAATAAATCAACACATCGGCAGCAAGGAGACGAGAAGCGCAAGGCTAGCCCTAAAAGCTTAAGAACAAAACAAAACAAAGTCCTAACTCTCGGAGTTTACTATGCTAAGATATATATACCTATGTAGGTATGTATATATATATTGTGTTGTCAGCGCCACAGTGATCGGCGAAGCTTAGTACTGCTGCGTCAGCGTCGCAACTGGAAAAGGCTTGTCGGATCGATCTCGTCCTAATAGTGTGTGTACCTACGCGCGTGCCAATAGGATATTCTGTCTATCTTGTCCCGGTTGCCGTGCGGAGTGAAGCCAAGCGAAGCGAAGCCAAGCGCGTGGGATGACGCGACGCACCAACCGCAGACGCGCTCTGGGGATCGGAAATCGTAATCCTACCGGGTGAAGCTTGAAACGCGGCGCCATTCCGTCGCGCCCAACATCCCCGAATCTTATTGGCTGTTCTACGCACTTGGCTATCGCAAGCCACTGTGGGATTCTCCAGCTGGCCAATGTCTCGTCGTGCCCTATCATTTCCCCTGTGGGCAGTTGCGAAGCCTTGAGGGGCTTATTTGAGTAATGGTAATGCTGGTATGCGACTATTATGCTGGTCCCTATTAGGTTGGATGTCCGGGGTAGGACGAAGCTGGAACTATTATACCTTTAATGGGTGCAACGTATCGCATTACACGCTTTTCGTAAGTATATATACTACGATATCTTCATTTTCTTCTATTGAGTCGTAACGAAATGTGTGATATCGGTAATATGTGCCCCCTTTTTCTCGCTGAAAGAGATACGGCAAGCGACACACACGAGTAGGATTGTTATACGATTTTCTTGCCACGCCATAGGTGTTGCGTTTTTAATATACATATCCCCGAACACGTCTGCTCGTGTGGGGGTTACATTTCGCCTCTTGGGGGGGATTCAACGTCATATCATCAAGCAATAATCGATTTGAGACATAGCCGTAAGTCAAGCTTTAAGCATCCGGCTTGTATTGTCTTGCTTAAGCATGTGAGGCTTGTTTAGGGTGTTTGCTATGGCGACCGAGTACGAGCTGTGGCGGCTCATCGCCAACAAGTAGGGTATTGGCAAGTAGGCATTCTGAGTTAGCGAACCGCCAGTCATGTCCTTGCTTTTGTTCGACATGGCACCAGCTTGTTCATAGCATGATCTCTCCGGCCCGCGCTTAGATAACGGGTCTCAACACGGCATAACGCCGCCGTACCTGGGAGGATTTGGTTTCACTTCTGTTCTGTTGGGTGGCTCGCAGGTGACGTGATGCTGCGGATAACTTTTGATTAGCCGGCGTCGGTACGCCGCCCGGTTGCATTGTTAGGAAAAATGAAGAAGGTAGCTGGGCTCGGCCGTAGGTCGACGAGTGACCTACCTCCATATCTACTGGTATAAGCCAAGAAACCTCAGCAGTATATCTTAACCCGTTGCCGTGTACATGTAACTCGATATTTCTGCACCGAGAAAATATGAGGTCAGAATCAGGCTTTGGCGTTTGGTTGACAAATTTTGATCCAAGGGTCTCCCGTCTAATACTAACGAGTAAGAGGCATCTCGATATGCTCGTAGATAATTTCCGAGAGAAAACTACTAACTAACCTAGTCACTTAGCACTTTACTAACCGTAAGCCGTTTATTCTCCACAGCGATCTCGAGAAATCGGATGATTTCTACCGAGTGCTAGACTGGATAATCATATTTATGGACTGATGTATTCGTTTCTTGTTTTACTGTTTCCATGTATACAGTTTCTTCCTACATAATGTTGCAAAAGAGGGCGGACACTGGCGTTTATATAGACCAATTATAAGAAAAACTCCTTAGTTGTCTCTTATACCTGGTGTAAGTAACTTCTTATTGTTATTGCTGCTGTTATTGTTGCTGTTAGTGTTCTTGATTTCGGTCCCCCGCTTGTGGAGTATGTGGCTCGACTTGGCTTCATGTTGGTAGACCCAAGTTCATGGTGTTTTTGTCAAACTGGCCCACATAATGCGGCATTTTGCGATTATATACATACGAGCCGGCTGTCCCATCAGAGGCGTACTTAAGTGATATATCATGCTACACTTGCTCTCTTCCTTTTACCGAGTTTTCGGTCTCAAATCAGGTTCTTACAAAAATGGGGTTGAGCAGGTTTTACTTATAAGCCACATCACGTCAAAATATCTTCAGCGTGCCAGCAGTCGGACTCGAAAATTAATGGCCGGGTCTTGGCATTTTCCTTTGAAAACAACACCATATATTATATGCAAACAAAAAGCATTGTAATGCGAAATAAAAAATTGAAAAAATATTTACAGGTTATTTAGCCATTTTAACTGTCCTTTGTACTTTTTGTAATTTTTATCCTTTAAAACTGGTCAAATTATATATATTAATATTAAGTGTTCAAATGCCAAGACCCGGCCATTAATTTTCGAGGCAGGCTGGCCAGGTACACGACGGGTCAATGGCATTGATATGTAGGAGGTGAGGGGTAACTCGAGGGAAAGACTAGGTACCTAACTGGTAGCTATTTTAAGGATGAATGGATCTCCACATCTCCAGCTTTCATCATCACACGGCTGATGTAAGTGTTTTTGTATGTATTCCGTATTTATTTACAAATCCAACTGAGGTATAGTATTGTTATGCTAGTAGCTATGTAGATAGTGCTATTCACTACCTAGTCTGTAGCGAACAGTCTCGATCCTTGCCCGTTAATAGGTCGTTTCACGCGCTCAGCATTTTACTAGGTTAGCTAGGTAGATAGCAGATATCTACCTACCTAGGTAGTATTTTCTTGGAAGAGGTCAAGTGCCCAGAGGAAAAGGGGGAAAGGCGAGCTACATTGTAAATATATGTGCTTCGGGTGTCAAATGTTTGCATCCGTTCCGTTGTGGTCTGAATAATTTAGAGGGATTCGAAAGCTTCCACTATCACTCTTGCACCGCCTAGGAGAAAGGCGGGCTCTGGAGTTTTGCGTGGTTGATAGACCGAGGTAAAGGAATAAGCGACACTACATAGGCACTACATGGACATAATAAGACGGCTGTAATTCGTGATAGGAGCCGTCGGATCGTGACGGCACGGCAAGACGCCTTATCCATGACAAGCAAGCAGGGCCTTGTCTCGTGTTTCAACCTCGATTGGCTCTAATGTTCATGGGCTACTATTCTACAATACACAACTGGGATGCGCCGCAATCTACTTAGGTAACACTCGTATGCGTGTCTCGCCACCCAGCAGCTTTTCTGTCGTTGCTATCTATCCTTTGAAATAACTGAGAATTATAAGTAGGATTAGGTATTGTGATACGTGGATAAAAGAAGCCTTTCCACGTTTGTCTTCATTTGCAGACTTCCAGTAAGCCTCTCCGGGGGTAGGAATACATAATGGTAGGCCGGAGAATTACGAACAAGGCGAACCACGAGCAGAGTTTTCCCTAGCCGGATGGATACACAAAAGGCGATGGCAATTAGATCAATATGTAGGTGTAAATGTGATGTGTAATTATGGGATGACAGGATGTGCCAGACGCTATTGATAATTGGCGGTACGACCTGCTTGTTCCCCATGGGCACAGCTTGCTCATGTCGTGATTCGTGGCAGCAGGCGATGGTAGACGGTAGACGACTAGCTACTGGTCGCAATAGTATATGGTTGGGTACGGGGTTTCTCAGAAAGGAGTACAAGCATTTACACTGAAGCGGCAAGCGTCAGTATGGATGTTAGTACGGCACCGACGGCGAATATTGCGAATATTGCGAATTTAAAAAGAGTGACGGTGAGGCCTAACTGCTGAGATGGTTTGCGTTTGGTGGTCATCAACTACCTAAGCGTGTTAGAGTAAGAAATGCGAGATATCTCGCAAGTTCTTCTGCTTTCCGGATTTAATGTATGCCGGACGTACAAAGCCGGGCGAGCTCGAATATTTAGGGAGATGTCCTTATTATATTATGACAAGTATGATAAGCCTGCCTTGCTTGTAAGACTTGGAATAAGCACTTGTGCAACTAAGGTGCAGTTCTTGAGAGTTAGTTAATATATATTATGGGGTTATGTTTTCTTATACTTATGTATGTATATCTTTTTCTTCAAGAATCTAGGTTAAGTATGTCAGTATGTCAGTATGTCAGTATGTCAGTATGTCAGTATGCCATTATGCCAGTGAGATAAGAAAATATTGCGTGTGTAATGTATTACTTAAAGGTAACTCGAAGCACACGATGTACACGATGTATCCGACTATTGTATATAGTAGCAACTGTAGCATAAATCAAGAAAATGTCGTATACTTGCAGTAGTCTGCACAACTAGCGGTACCTAGGAGGACTTGTTATACATACCTAACCTACAGACTTGTTGTTATACACGAACCGAACATCTGGAACTACCGTACTTAGACACAAGGATCATATATGTAACTAATGCATCACCATTTAGGGCTGTAATTTCTAACCGCGGAGTGCTTACATGGCGTTGTTCATGGTATCGTTCATATTATCGTTCATAGTATCGTTAGCTCGCTATCCCGAAATGCCGGTTGATGCAAGTTCTAGAGAGGGTTATAAGAGATTTGATTAAGAGGCTTTTCAAGAATCAACACCGACCAACACAACACCGACCAACACCGAAGCCTGCTTAGGATCCAGCTGGGACTGGCATGTAAGCTTAGCTTAGCTTGGAAGCCGTTCAGTGCCGTAGTACGTTTCGTCGTTTACCTAGGTAGGAATCAGTACACTAGCTAAGGCCAATGAGAGACGACTACAGGTCTCGGATAGTGAAATGGCGCTAGCAAGTTGCATTGGTCCCATCCAAGACTCTCTACTAACAACAAGGGCGACAATAATAAATAATAACAACATCATCGTCATCATCATCATCATCATCATCATCATCACCATCAAGCAACATGCGGAGTTTCGCGCCTGAAAAGTGGGCAAAGGAGAAAGTCCATTTTGCTCTTTGGGGTATGATTTTGATAAGGGTAAGAGAAAGAGAACAAATATATTGTATGATATTATGCATGTACCTATGATTTCGATGCCCAGAAAAGAAAGCCAAGGAGAATTAACTTAAGCATAAATAAATTTAAGTCAAGGTCATCTTACGTAACATGGGATATACATAGGTAGGTACCAGATATGTAGGTACCTAGGTAGATACATGCTTTTTTGATGCTTCCATTTACATGAATAATATTATTAACAAATCGTATTGTTAACGTTGAATCTCCTTATGTAAGTCTTTCGCGTTTGTTGGATCCATAGCATTAAACATCTTAAACAGAGCCTTGTTCTTATGCTTCTAGCTTCGAATATCCCAAACAATTCGTTATGCACTGTTGGCCGGGCCATGTATCGTACTGTGCGTGCTAGGAAACCCGCATTGCATATTGCAGGACAGACACTTACAGGCCTTGCCCTTGGCACACGGCCTCGCCGTCTGTTTTGCTGGTTCTGTTAGGAGTCTCAGACGATTATGACACTGCTTCGCACGGTATGCACTGTACGAACTATACCTTAGGTATGTACATAGCGTGTCGTGTAACCGGTACATCGGTACATGATGCGCGCTCTTTCGAAAAATAGCACCCGCATTTACATACATACATAACATGTAGTATGGCCTGGAGAAAGCCTGGCTTCCATGGCCGTTACACGCCCCGAGTATACTGATAACCTAATTAGGTAATATACATGGAAGGGTACTCGAAGATGGGTATCTGGGGATACCTTATTTAAGGTACATGACAGGGTCAGCATATGTACCTACTTTTAGACTTTCTCATTTTACTGGGGAATCCGTGGCTTTAATCTCAGATCGTCGAGTGTACTTGCAGTAGGCAAATGTACTTCAAGTACATACCTCTTACATACTTGCAGCTGCCAGCCGGGGCCGCTTGTAGTATCCAGCTCCGTAAACATCCCAGGGACTTTATTTTTTTCGGTAATCAAAAGAACCCAATCCTCGCTCACCAATGTCTTCTTTTTCTCGTTCCAAGCAAGATTCAGGCTTAGTCCCATAATAATTACTACAGTACCTTGCTATACAATACCTTGTATGTTTCTGTTGCTGCAGCTTACCCTCCTGCCGGGATTGAGAGGTTTTCTATGCTCTCTTATTATTGTTCTTCTTCTTGTTGTAGTTGGAGGAGAGGTTTCTTCCTTCTTCTGTTTTGCATAGGGAGAGAGATATGCTATTAGGAGTTGTAGCAATAACGACGACTACGACTACGACTAATTCCAAACCAGCAGCAGCAGCAGCAGCAGCAGCAACAGTAGCAGCATCTTAACTGCCTTAATTTTATTATTTTCAACGCATTTACTTTTATTTTGAGGGGAGAGGCTGCAGTCTTTACCTTATATCAGAACTATCAGAACTATATAATTTGGAGTCGACCAATTTGTCCAATCGCTCTTCACTGGGCCATCCGTAGGGGCACCCAAAGTAAATATTGGCCCATCCCATACGCACAACTGCCAAATCGTCGCGCCAGGCCACCAGACCTTCGACCGCCGACCTGCTATTTTCAGTGTATACGCATTCGATACAGAAGTTTTATAAAAAACTAGAATTTTTTGTATCCCCGGGTCTCTTGAACACCAAATATCCATGTCTCGATGAACAATGGTCACGAGAGCGTCACTGAGAGTCGACTTTTCTTCCCTCCGCCTCTCGACAGAAGGCAGCTCTCCTCTGTTCTCCTAACGCCTGTATTTCAAGATGCAGACCGTTCCGAGTGTAAGTCTAACCTGTTTGCCCATGTAATTCACCAACTACATTCAACCCCTTGTAAAGGACCAGTGTATTGCAGATATCTCCTGAGTCACTCGTTGCTATGCGAGACTACTCGATTTGTCGTCCCTCGACTCTCCTTAGCGTTGCCCCGGCGCCCCTCTGGTTTGCTGGTTTGCTGGTTTCCTACCTCTTGTCAGGCTTATAATTGGGACCGTTACTGACGTGAATTAGCTCATTGGAGCCGGTACTGCGGTTGCCACCGCGGCAACGGGTCTGGCACTTGGTGAACTGACAGATGAGCAGCCTCAGCGCCCAAACACGAGCAAGAGAAGGTCAATGATAACCGACAGAGACTTCCTAAGCGTGTTTTCATCTCGACCTGGGACAACGAGCTCCGCCATCCCTGCTACCTTTAATAATGACTTTATGCAAGACTCGAGCCAACAATCCTCATTATTGAGTACGACGAACCGATCGCGAAATCCTCGACATTCTTCACACACCCAAATAATACATTCCAAGTCTTCCTTCGCGAGACACTCATCTACTAGACAAGGCGAATTTGCACCTGCGACGCCTATCGTCGAAGATTCACGAGATTCCCTGTCCTCGAACGGTTCTTGGATACGAAGATTATCTATACGACCGCTCTCCCAGCACGGAAGCTTTAGGTCGAGCGTCGGCCCCGACTCGCCATCTATAACCTTTTCCCACGGCTCTGCGGCGCCGATTCTGTCGCCTGTGGGACATCCACCTCCTCAACCACCTCGGAATAAACTGGTCAAGCGTGCATCGGCTGTCAACGGTGGAAATACGGGTCCTTTAGTGCGGCGAGGGTCAAAAACACAGATGACGCTGCGCAGACCGGCTACGAGTCACCAGCGATCCGCTACATTACATCAACAGATCAACAGCGAAACCTTACAGCCGTTACCAGATATAACCCTTGACCAGTGTAGTCGTCCTAGGGCCCAGACGCTGACCAGTCCAGTTGAGCCTAATTTCGGTGCCAACAATAGGCCATCGAGGTGGAAGTCGTTTTGGCATTCTCGAATATTTCGAAGCCCGGCTAAATTATCGCCGCTGAGAGGTAACGACGGCGCTGGTGCACCCGGTATAAAGCGAATCTGTGTAGATCAACAAACTCGTCGACGAGTCTACTTAGTGGCGCCAGAGTCTCTCGCCATAGGTTCATCCACTTTGGAGGTTCCAACCGGTGACCTTCCTGCATCAGAGAACCAGTCTAACACCGACAGCAGTCCGCAGTCCTCGACCAAGTCCTCAGAGTCCCCCGAAGGCACGCCCGCTAAACAACCTCGACGCTCTATTTCGATGCACTTCAGTCCAACTTCGAACTGGATACCGAAGACTGGGAGTATACGACGACGTAAGCGTGGGGAGACTGTGGGTGAAACTAAACGGCACGTGTCTGCCCCAGCCGCAACAGGCACGGACTCCTCAGCTTTCTCCGATATGGCTGGTCATGGAGAGCTTTCGAAGGATGCCGAAGACCTGGATCACTCCGGCACAGAGTTACCTGTTGCACTTCAGCCAGCAATCCGCAAGCGAAATATTTCGTCTCCTCTGCCGCCCATAACAAGGCTTTCGAGTTTCCATATTGATTTGAATAAATTCGGCTCATTGTCACCAGACCTGCAGTCCCAATTTAGCGAATCAGCAACCAATACAGCGATAACCCCAAGAACTGTTTCTAATACATCACAGGCTCGGACATTGGAACGGGCCTCTACAACTGGTAGCTCTGAATACCATCGCGGCTTTACATCTGGTGATGATGACGACACAGATTTTAAGACGGATACGCCATTTGACTCGATACGGACGGCAGCATCAGGATGCCAAAGAGGCGTCGATAGCCCATTAGAGTTAATGTTTGACGAGTCGCCCCCAAGTACTACTAGCCATAACAGCAAACCGAAACGATTGTCGATCCAAGATATTCTAGGTCCGTCTTTTAATGGCGGGAATAAGATTATGGAGGAGGATGAGAGCATTTCTACGCCTGTTCGGGGAGTATATAGTGCAGCCGAATCACGATTTCTTGCAGCGGATATTGAAAGCCGGGATGGTTTTGACTCTATGCCAGCTTCTCCCAATTTCACTACACGCAGAGATCTTTCTCGATTTTCGCTAGACGACGATGACGACCTGGACTGGAACAAGGAGGAGGATAATGGAATATATAACCACCTATCTCCTCCCAGTTCCATGAATTCTAGAAAAGGTGGCCCAAATGCTCGAACTGCATTGTCCAATATCAACGGCAATGCGAGGCCCAAGGCACGGATCGATTCCACGAGCGAACGACCTAGGAGCACCGTTTTTGACTGGGCTGAGCCTGTGGCCCATGAGAAGCACGACGGTATTGGTAATCACATGAGACCAAAAACCGTTCATGGTAAGCAGGAAATCGATATTAGAGGCGGGCGTACTGCGAGCCGTAGGGGTCCTACTCCCGCTCATGTGAGAAGTCAAAGTGTTCCCCTCGTTCCGGAATTGTTTGAGACCGCGACCTCGACTCCTAAGTTTGGAACCTGGGGGCTAGGCCAGAAGAACGCGAGCGAAGACTGGGATGATGACTTTGAATTTGAGGAAGAAGATATCGATGGATTACTTGTCGGGAAAAACGAAGAGTCGAAGGTCTCAATGGTTGTGCCTGCGTCGATCCAGGCTACACAGCCTACAATCAAGGCTCACTCTGGACAGATCAGGGAGCTTTCGCTTCTAGTTAACGATCTAAAGCGATTGTGTCGACTTGGTCGTGACATGGACATGCTTGGTGGATCGTCTGTAAAGCTTTGGCGAGAGGCTGAGGGCATCATTGCCCTAGCGTCGCCCGACGAAGATCCAGCAGAGGTTGCCGATTTTAAACCCGATTCTTCTAGCACGCCTACGCGATTCGTCGACCAGGACTTTGAAGGGGCTATGCATGATTCAAACGGACCTGCTAGGGTAACAGAGAGCCAACGGAATGCGGTCGTTCGCGATCGTCCTGCTGGCCGCCGTCGATCTGTCTTCTCACCAGAGGATGATATCTTCGGCACTTGGGATCACGCAGATGAGCCGGTCCCTGATCGACCGAAGACCCCCGAGAACCAAGTCGTCAGCCCCGAATTCGGATCGACCAGTGTTGCTAGATCTGTTATGGAATCTATGCAGCCTCGACATTCAAGGACGAACCTGGGCCGCGAGTCATCTGGAAAACTGAACTTTGATACGAACAGTCTCAAAGAGCTGGTCAGGCGTGCGAGCGATTTGAGAGATGGTTTATCCGATATCGTTCGCAAAGCAGATCACCTTACTCAGAGCCCTGTACGAACTCCGAAGCACACAAGGCCAGACGGAAGCCCTGCATTTACGCGAGTTTTTGACGACCCGACGTCTAGTCCTTCGAGGCGGATACCCCATAGCCAAAGCAGCAGCTCGATTCTTAGCAGCGGCTCAGTTGGGGCGTCTCCGTCTAATGGACTAAACCAGCGCATGCAGATGATGACGGTTAGCTAAAAAGCCCGTACTAAGAGTTCGCTCATTCGACAAACTCCCCGATCCTCCCCATTCTCGAGCCCTCGTGGTCTAATTACAATGGGGAACTGTGTATATGTGAAGACGCATGTCTGATTTGCATAGCGTATGGTCGGTTATCAGTTTTTCTTTTATTGCAAGATTACATACAAAGGAGACCTTGCATTTCCGCTTAATTACATCGAGGAAACGCCAAACGAGATGTCTGTTGGCCTGATGTCGGTTATCAACCCGACCTGAGTACCTGTGCTTAGGTTTTCCTACTTTATTCATGTTCCCTAGGTCTGAACCTGGATATACACCTTAATGCGGATTCCTCGAAGGATTATTAATATTGGCCGATGTTTTCCACCACGACTCCGAATGCATTGGCGTTGGTACGTCTGCGAATGACGATATATTACACCTATAGACTCACGGAGTATTATGACGAATAACGACAGCTGCATACCTGGACCATGCTCGCACAATTCGGCGGTTCGATCAGCCGCAGTGCACGAGATGGATCTTTCAAGGGATCTTAATTCCATACGTAGATAGGGACTGTAGGTAGAGGCCTAATCCCAATAACGCAGCGAACAATTTCGACGGGATTTGACAAGTTGCCTCCGCCTCGCATTACGCATAGCCTTTCCCCAGGCAGATGAAAAAGGGGGTGGTACCGAAACCGGGATAACCTCCAATGATATATGCGTTCTCGTTTGTCTAAGACATGCCATGAATTTTTGAACGTCTCGACCTTGCGATGTCCACGGTGCCAGAAAACAGCTCGGTGTGACGAATCACTTTGTATTTGATTTCAGCATGGATGAAAGAAAAACGAATTGATTAGTTCTTTTTTGTTTCTTTTTTCCGTAGTTTTTAAAAGGTTATGGCATTGGCATGGCACTACGGTCTGGCACAGGCATACGGCATCAGGAGTGCATTCATTGTACAGGTAGACAAGGTCGGCTTGGGTTATGGCAGGCTGGCTGGACAAAAACAAGTAGAAAAATAGGAAATACCGGGCGATCGATTTGGTCGACCTTGTTAGGAATTCCGCTGCGGTCCTCCCATCTTTGATATTCGAGATATGTCCCGCTTATGTATCACTCCAGAGTGTTTTTGGTATGATATGATAGGATCGTATTGTCACTATGGGGTTTAAACCCACTCATCGTAGGGACAACCACGTCCTATATAGGTGCCTACACCGCCAGATATCGTGGCAAGGATGCTGAAGTTGAAAATTGATTGCATAGCTACATACCTACCTATCTCATGTACGTGTTCATTAGATACTAATTTATAATCGAGGAGAATCTAGGCAACAGAATAGACAATTGGTTCATTATCGTTGCTTCTGAGATGCTCACATCTAGTTGAATAATTCGCCACACGTATAAATATACCTAATTTGAGCTAATGTTACTTAAAAAATCTTAGGCAGCAGGATAACTACCTTAGGTACCCAAGTGACTGTATCACGTATGCCGTATGCCCCCATATTGATGCCACCGCGTTAGTTGAAGTAGTGTTAGTATCAGTGTTAGTGTTGTTGTTGTTGTTATTGATGATAAGGAGATGGCGGGTCTAGAAAGATGGTTGCCAAGCGCCCGCAGCTACGGTACACAATACATGGTAAATTACAAGTAATTAGACTAGCGCGTATGTACCTTGTACTTTCTCCGCCTCCATACCGGGATGTGGTCCGTGCGTTATTATCCCCTTAAAGCAAATGCAGCAAGCGCAGTGGGAAAGCAGTAACCTAGCAGAGTGGGCAGCATTGAGGAAAAGAGGGGCACCCCCTTGTTAGGTTATTGGAGCGATTGGAGCGATTGGAACAATTGGAGCGACCCTTTCCGTTTTGGAAATCTACAAGCAAAAAAAGCTGCCCTCAACTTTCTTCCACTCAAAACCGCAAGGCACAACACAACTCTCTCTCCCTCAAACCACACACCGCTCCTCTTAGTTTTCCTCCCTTAAACTTCTACGACTACCATTCTCAGGAACGCATCCTTTTCTTACCTCTTCCTTGCTTGCCAGTTTCCCTCAGCCGTGTTCGTTACTATCATAATCAACCACCGTCAAAATGCGTGAGATTGTAAGTCATATCAAATTCTTGTTTACCCCTAACCGAAGCCCAGTTCTCAGTAGAGAGAAACCCCTGAACGCGTCCGAAAAAAAAAACCTCCAAACCCCCCCCTTAGTTCTGCCCCTCATACACACAACACTACCGCATCTACATTTCATATTGCAACTACATCAAATTGTACAGCAACGTGTCGGAAAATTCAAAGCTAACCGTGTTTCTTCAATAGGTTCATCTTCAGACCGGCCAATGTGTAAGTAACAGCGATGATGGAAGAACCCATGGATATAAAATACAGCGGGGCTTACATGAAGATGATAGGGTAACCAAATTGGTGCTGCTTTCTGGCAAACCATCTCCAGCGAGCACGGTCTCGACAGCAATGGCGTGTATGTATTCGAGTTATCTATTCCTATTACCGAGAATCAAGAATATCAACTAATCATCAATCAACAGTTACAACGGTACTTCCGAGCTCCAGCTCGAGCGCATGAGCGTCTACTTCAACGAGGTAGGAATTTATAAGAATAGGAATAAATAAATGGAGATAATTGCTAATTGTCTCCATGCGTGCAGGCTTCCGGCAACAAGTATGTTCCTCGTGCCGTCCTCGTCGATCTCGAGCCCGGTACCATGGACGCCGTCCGTGCTGGTCCCTTCGGTCAGCTCTTCCGACCCGACAACTTCGTCTTCGGTCAATCCGGTGCCGGAAACAACTGGGCCAAGGGTCATTACACCGAGGGTGCCGAGTTGGTTGACCAGGTTCTCGATGTCGTCCGTCGTGAGGCTGAGGGTTGTGATTGCCTCCAGGGTTTCCAGATCACCCACTCCCTCGGTGGTGGTACTGGTGCCGGTATGGGTACCCTGTTGATCTCCAAGATCCGCGAGGAGTTCCCCGACCGCATGATGGCCACCTTCTCCGTCATGCCCTCACCCAAGGTTTCCGACACCGTCGTCGAGCCTTACAACGCCACCCTCTCCGTCCACCAGCTGGTCGAGAACTCCGATGAGACCTTCTGTATCGACAACGAGGCTCTGTACGACATCTGCATGCGCACGCTGAAGCTGTCCAACCCCTCGTACGGTGACCTGAACCACTTGGTCTCTGCTGTCATGTCCGGCGTTACTACTTGCTTGCGTTTCCCTGGTCAGCTGAACTCTGACCTGCGCAAGCTTGCCGTGAACATGGTTCCTTTCCCTCGTCTCCACTTCTTCATGGTCGGCTTCGCCCCCCTGACCAGCCGTGGCGCTCACTCTTTCCGTGCCGTCACCGTCCCCGAGTTGACTCAGCAGATGTTCGACCCCAAGAACATGATGGCTGCTTCTGATTTCCGTAACGGTCGCTACCTGACGTGCTCAGCCATTTTGTATGATGATATCCCTTGTAAATATTTATACGTTACTTGTTTGCTAACTTGAATTCTCTAGCCGTGGCAAGGTCTCGATGAAGGAAGTCGAAGACCAGATGCGCAACGTTCAGAACAAGAACTCGTCCTACTTCGTTGAGTGGATCCCCAACAACGTCCAGACCGCTCTCTGCTCGATTCCTCCTCGTGGCCTCAAGATGTCTTCTACCTTCGTCGGTAACTCGACCGCTATCCAGGAGCTATTCAAGCGTGTCGGCGAGCAGTTCACTGCTATGTTCCGACGAAAGGCTTTCTTGCATTGGTACACTGGTGAGGGTATGGACGAGATGGAGTTCACCGAGGCCGAGTCCAACATGAACGACTTGGTCAGCGAATACCAGCAGTACCAGGATGCCGGCGTCGACGAGGAGGAAGAGGAATTCGAGGAGGAGGCTCCGTTGGAGGAGGAGTAAGCGCTCCGTCATATACCCCATATCCATAAGCGGCAACCTACGGAATGGTGGCACGGCACGGATGGGTGACTAAGGCATGTCACGGTTTTGTGGTTCCCGCTTCCCTATACTATTCTCACGCCCCCCTTCGTTACCCAGACGTTCAATGGATATAGTAGTACCTTAATAAGAAATTGATCAACCGTGGTCAATTGAACTGTCTGCGGGGCTTGTTAGATATACCTCTTTGGTGTGCGTCTGGAGAGAAAAGGAAAAATTATTCATTAGTAGTAACAAGAACAATAATTGATCGTCTTGTACTAATTACTTGCTATTCTTGGCCTGAGTTTTTAGTAGGGCTTGTAATACAGTTCTATTCTGACTTGTGAAGAAGAGTTGATGTGTATGATGTTTACATGACTGACTTGAAGGATTAATCCAGTCTTGAGCAGTTGGGTATTAATGTTGATATGGCTCTCATACCAACACAAGAGTCTTCTAGTTGAACTAAAAAGAATAACCGTTTGGTTATCTAACATAGTGCTTACAGGTGCGTAAATGCCTTGGATTCTCCCGGTTTATTATTAATTACAAGTCTGCTATCGAGCACTTCCATGACGCGAGGCGATCTCGGGAGAGAAAGGCGATTCTAGGCTTTCCAGATGCTTATACGGAATCCTTAGATCCTTAGGAGCTATCACTAAACACCGAAATTTTAAATTTTGAATCCAACATCCTTAGTTATTTACGCTTGGAATAACTTATATCCCATCTCCTTCCGTCTTGGTTGACTATAAACTCCGCGTCGTGATAACTTATCGGGGTGTCTTATTCCCGATTACTGTGCTGAATAATAGAGACGCGGAGGGTGGAGGACGAAGGACGAAGGACGAAGGACGAAGGACGAAGGACGAAGGACGAAGAACGGCGTAGCAGGATGGAATTGTGCTGGTCTATGTAGGGTGCTGCCTTGCTATATGCGGGTGTGTAGATAGATAAATAGAGCTCGTTGCTATTGTTGTTATAAGTCGCGGACCGCTCACTACCCAAACTTACCCAGAGTATTATAAACTGAACTACTCAGAGGCAGAGAGAAAAAGAGAGAGATATCTTTTACGACCATGGCTTCCTCTACCACCACCACCACCACCAACGACAACTCCCAGCCCAAGCCGTCTCACTTCCCCTTGGCCGGGGGTGACAACGACGGCTGGTCCACCGAGGACGAAGCTACGGCGACGTGCTACTGCGGCGCCGTGCA